AGCCTTGAGAGAGCACATCCTTCCCCCCTCACCCTGGAAGGTCTACATAACGGAGCCCCGAGAAGGACTCTATATAAAGTTTTAAGATGCCCACCGGTAGGGGTAGAGATCTACTCGTCTTATGGCCGCCCAACACAAGCTTCCTGTGAAGGCTCCCCTGCTCATGAGAACTGCCACCCACCAATCAGAGCGGTCTGCTCTTCCTTCAGTCTCTCCTTGTCCTTCAAGTATGGTGGGCGGGGGTTGGGGGAGGGGTTTCCAATTTCACCAGGGGACTCCTGAGGTTGCACACCAACACCTCAGAGATTCCGCCCATGAAAATCCCTGATTTCCACCCTCACATGGGGACCCCAGGATGCAGTCTGGCCCAGCTGACTGCTCCCTTCCCCAGAGGTCCCCTCCCCCAGTCTCTCGCCCATCTGTAGGGCTCACCCTACCTGCTGAAAAGCCTGGGACTGGGACTTTTCACTGGCGAATTGGAAATCAGGGAATAGGATAGGCAGGCAAAGGCCACTCAGCCCACGGAGAAAACCAGCTGGTGTTTGCTTTCTCTACAAGTGTCCTCAGGAGCGTGAGCGTGTGTGTGTGTGTGTGTGTGTGTGTGTGTGTGTGTGTCCGTGGAGGACGGTGAGAACGGAGAGGCTGCGGATTGATTATGACTTATTAAACTATTGGAACAGAGGCTGAATCATCACAGTCAAAAAAATAAACAGCTGCAACTGGATGCGCCATAACTCCCACTTCTTGCTGGCTTCCCTTTGCTCCCTCGCAGCGGGAAGGAGCAGAGGCCTTGCTGGCTGGGACCAGCAGGTGCCTGCTGAGGGGACTCCGTGCAGCCACCGCCTCCAGGCTGTGTGAAGCCTGAAGCCCGGACAGTCTGTGTGAAGGCGGGACAGTCCGGATGAGCCTGAGCCTCCGCCTGCAACTTGGGAGCCCGAGTGCCTCGCACACCGACCGTGCGGGGAGAAGAGCTCCCCCTGGACCCATCGCCTCGCTGCCCTTCCCGGGCCTGGCGCCCAGAGCCCAGGGATGGCCCACAGTAGACACAGCTCTGCAAACTTGTCCGACTGAGGGGTGCCCAGGCGCCCCTGGGTTACCCAGGCACCACCCCAGCTGCCTGGAACACGCTGGGTGACACAGCACAGATTCTGTGAAATCGGAGGGTAGGCAGTGCGTGTCCCGAGCCATGGGGAGGCAGACTGAAGTCGCTTGACCTTCCCCTCTCACCTGCATGAAGCCCCCCTGCCCCCCCCTCCCCAGTCCGTGCCCCACGCCGATGAGCTGTGCCCACCGCCACCGCCACCGGCAGGATCCTCCACTCGGCTCACCCCCGTCCTCCCACAGGACCCGATGGGCGGAGCGAAGCTGCCATGACGTCAGGAGGGGGGCGTGGGGAAATGTGCCGAGGGGCTCGGGCTCCGCAGGGCCAGTCCCGGCGACACAGCCACCAGCGCCCA